GCCCCGCCCCTGTGTTTCCAGCATCACAGTAGCAGGCTGGGAGCTCATCCACCATCCACGTGGAGGGGCTGCGGCAAAAACTGCAAAGCAGACGATTTGGCGCAGGAATTTGCATAAATGCGGCAAAACGCCTTGCTGGTCATTCTGCTTTTAACTTATGCAGGTTTAAGTCTAGGGGAGCAGCCCCAGAATCTGGCAAAGGAGAGAGTGCATTTGTTCTAAGTGTACACACTAAACAATGAACGATCTGTAGGAAATGTTTTTGATTGTTCTAATTTAGTATTATATTTTGTAAGCTGCCCAGAGTTCACTGGAGTGGGTGTCTATTTTAAATCTAAAAAATCAATAATAATAAAATAGTGATGAAATATCTTAGTGGTGAACAGATTTAGCTGAACATTGCAATGCAGGCCAAATAGCTTACTCAGAAGTTAAGTCCCAAAAGGTTAAGTGGAACTTACTTCCAGGTGAATGTATGCATGCACGCAGGCAGAATTGTCTTGAGTTTTATAGAATCAGTGGTATTGGGGCGGACGTATGTGTTGGATTTTGTAGCTTTCACATAATGGACAGCATCTTAACTGAAGGAGAAGCCATTTTGAGTGTCTCAAAACAGACCATCTTTCCAAGTAGAACAAAGAGGGTACTCCACATTTATCCAACGCCAGTTCCAAAATTAAACTAATGTGCTTTTGAACAAGGTGAGTCCTATTCTTTGCTGTTCTTCTGCTAATTATAGGTGTTCTTTTCTAAAGCAGTCAGTAGAATCACCTCCAAAGCTGTGCTTCCTCTTCAGGGCAATTTTAAAAATTGGCATCAGAGGCAACACCGCCCTCGAATCTGTCCTTTCTTTGAAGGCAGCCGCCATTTTGGAAGCAGTGAGTGTACAGTCCTTCAAGGTGACACAAATATCTGCATTTCAAACATTGAAATTGAGTCTATTTGTATTACTGATTTGGGAGCAAAACCCAAGCAAGCATGAACCCGCCAGGACCCCACAATATGACCCATAAATATTTAGTTCATACAACCACACACACATACACACAGAGTATTAAAGGTTACAATGGATTTACAGCAAGAGACAAAAACATTTAGCAGAGCAATCTTCGCTGGTTTGCTTTTCTGGATCTAGGACAATAAAAATAATGTTTTTCTTCACTTTACTTAATATCTTCATTAGAAGAACGCCTTTTCGATTTCAGTCCTACTTAAGGTCCACATAAAAAACAGCTGATTTCCAACAACCAATTAAGATAGGCTGTTTTGTTTTTTCTTTTTGACAAGAATCATATGCCAACCGCAAAATGTCAACAATTGCCAACAGTTTCATTTTACTCCATGGTAAATAGTGCATAGTTCAATAGGATTTAGGCAATAGCGGTGAAGAAAGAGGAGGAGGAGGGGGGATTTAGAATGGCTAGTACCATAAGAAAGAGGAATAGAGGAATAAGTCGCTGTAGTGGGCCATAAATTCAGGTTCAGCTGAGATTTGGAAGGCCACAACTTAAACATTTGGGAGAAGTCCATTGCACCTTTGAGGTGATGATTTCCCTTTCTCTCTTTTTTTGGCAATTC